ATGTGTGTGCATATGTGGCAGATAATGCCACAGGCAAGAATTCATGAGCATCAGCAGTTTTCTCACCATTTTGTTGGGCTTAATCCCCTTGTTTCAGTTGGAGAAATAGTTATTTCTCTTGCATATTTTAGTTCAGTTCCTGTGCGCCGCATCCCCACCAACGCACCTTCATGTCAGGGTTTTCGCTCTCGTCGTGATGAGTGGAGTTTTTATGCATCGAGGTCACACCATTTTTGCTTTTTTTGGGTATTTATGTCTGGCTCAGCAGCCCAAGCAGGTGAACTTAGGCTGAAAACATTTCTGAATCCTGCACAGAAGTGGTGTGATGTCACGCTCCAAAAACGGCCGAAGATTCTCTTTTTAGGAGGCGAGCGGGGGGGGGGGAGAGAGGGCCACAAAGTCCCCTCGCCCACCACCAAAACTAAGCGTCATGCCTCCGAGCCATGCAATTATTTTTTGCACTGCGTCCAATATCAACTTGAGACCAATGCAAATTATTTAAGACGCGCTTCTCAGGGCTTGCAATTATAATAATGATGATCTCAATTAGCGTTGCCATCGCCTTGGACTATTTAGCAGGCAATTTTTGCAGCCCGGGGGCGAGGGGGGTCTTGCAGGGAGCCGCCACGCATGGTCGGGTCAGAAGGGGGCTTCGGAGAGGAAGAAAGTGACCGAGACGGAGGCTGCTCTCTTAATCAATAAGCTGAGACTAGAGATATTTACCGCCCAATTCCACAAGGGCACGGCTCATAAATTGACCTAATTGGTGGATGCGTGGAGATGAAATAAATGATGCCGGGATGCGGCGTCTAATTCAGACACGCAGGGTTCGGGATGAGTTTCTCTGTACTGACATGTGCTGCCACACTCGTTCCCGTTCCCTGTGAGGGTTAGACTCATGACATTCCTCTGGATGCAGATTCCAGCCTTTTGTGGATCAGAGTTTTAGCTATCTGTTAGCCAATTTAACCCAATTTAACCTTTGGGTCACTCCTAACTCTAACGACAGGATTGCAGCATTTTTATGATTTATTTTTAGTCTCTTAGTGTCAGCTTTCAGGTCTTTCTTGTGTTTATTTACAGTTAAAAGGATTGCCCAATGCACCTTTTGAATGCTATGAATCTGGAAAATCAATCCTGGAAATGCTGAATTGATTCTTTGCAAACAGTAAATCATGCAGACAACTTTTTGTGCTTCCTGTTTAAACTCAACTCAATCTTTCTGACCAACTACACTGTGCTTAAAAACGCAAACCTAGAGTACGATTCAAGTTCCAGTCAAAAGTCCAGAAAAAGACGTAAAAGATAACAGAATATACGCCCTTCCGGAAGATTCTACGGCAGGAATTTGGCAGGTGAAAGGTAAGAATGTCAACACGGGGCATTAAAAGGATTATCGACCGAACGTTTAAGCTCTCCATGCGATGATGGGCAGAGGATAACCACTTTGAGCCGAACTGTCAAAAATTCATCAATCAGTGGGAAGAGGTGTGGAGGGTTTGTGCAGAGCTATGTGTCTAAAGTGCATGTTTCTGTAAAAAATATTCAACAGTGGCCCTCCCTGCAGCACAGGCTGCCTCCCGATACGAGTTCTAGCGTTTGAATTGGCTCCGCATTCAAAGGAATTCTATGTTTAACGCGTCAAAGATGAGAAAAAGACCATGCGGGCTGTTTTGGAGCATGACGAACCCACCAGGGGAGCAGAGGTGTGCTACCAAACCTGTTTTTGGACCCGGTTCTGCACCACTTACAGCAGCATGGCATATAGACACTGTGTGTGTGTCTTTGTGTGTGTGTGTGTGTGTGGGCTTGATTGGCCTGCCTAGAGTCCATCTCCCTGAAAATGTATGGCAGATCTTAAAGTGGAGAACCAGTCAGGCCACTATTACGGACTGTTGAGCAGCGGAAATCTTGTATTCAGGAAAGATGGACACAGATTCCTGCTGCAAAAACAGCAACAATTAACATCCTCACTACCCAAAAAAACACATTTCTGCTGGATTTTACCATTAAAGCCAAAGCTTGCTATCTCTGTTAGCTTTCTAAGCTAAGATGTGTTCAGATTTCCGGCAGATTTCCAGTAAGACAAAGAATAACGGCCTCCCCCTTTTTTCCGATATATAAATTAAGTCCCGTTCATGGCGTTCCCAACACATCATGTAGCGTGCTGCACTGCGCCTGTATATTAGAAGGGCTTTTTTTTTCCTCCCCTCCATTCATGTGGAAAAGGCTTGCACCAGCAGCTACCCTTTCTTTTATTCATCGCACTGTAAATAACTCCACTTTATGAAAAGCAGCCAGTGTGACTCACGGATACCTCTCTAACCACAACCCATTATTATTTCATGGCCTTTGAAAGAAAGGGGTCTATGGCGGGCGTTCCTCACACTTTAAAGCCAGAGCTCCGTCTGATGTTGTGTAGTACACAAGCGGCCCTTGTTGCGCTCCGTATGCAATCCCTCACTTGAATTCACAAACACTTCCAAGTGCATAAATAGCACGGAGGACGAGCGCATAGCGAGTTAGCTAATGCTCCGGAACGCCGCTGCTGAGGAGATAACAGGAGCCTGCCACCGTCATTTTGGGGGGGAGGGAGAAAGACAAGTGTGTCTTTTCTGGAAAAAGGCCGTTGTCTTCTGACCTCTCATGGGACATCATACGGGAAGGCAAAAAGAACACGCGTCAGCGTTACGATTAAATGACCAGCGGATATGATTCAAAGGCTCCCACGGTGGCCCTCGGAGCACCCTTTGGAACGTGTCGGAGGCTCTCGGCATACAGACGAGCTAATGGCCAACCTATCGGTCACGGTAGATTCGGCTGGAATCTCAATGAGGGTGTCAGTTTCTGCTCCATGACCGACAAGGTGCGGTAGGCCTGCTGGACGTTGATTTAGCCACGCGGCCTGTCACGGACAGTCAACACCCATCAATCGAGAGGCTGAAAATGATGTTTTTTTTCCTGTTTTTTTCCTGTTTTTTTTTCTTTTTTTCGGTTATTCATCCCCCACTTTTGAAGCGCCGAGAGAAAAAAGTGCCGTCTTAAAGACGGATGGAAAATGAAAGGCGTCTGATGCAATTTCACATCTTTGTTTCCTGCCCATGATGCAGAACCTTGATGGTAATAAGGCAGAAGTTTTTTCTTTTCTCTTTTTTTTTCAAACACGAGCCTGACAACAGACTTAATAATGCGGTGGGGGGGCCAAAAGCACTTTTTCAGTGTGTAGCCCAGAAATGAAGCCTGGTTGGGTCAGTCACTTTGAACAAAAAGCCTTTCAGAGAGGGACAGGAGAAGGTCTGTGTATACTGGGACATGCTTGTGGTACATGAAAGCTTGAAACACACACAGGCTAAAGCCATTACAGGTCCAGGGGGGGGGGGGGGGACACAGTGCCTTGTCCCGCTCCTCTAAACAACACTCTAGGTGCTGGAAGCCAGAAAAAAGCCTTGTAACGTAGACATGAAATTTTAATTGTTTTTTTTTCCCCCAACTCCTTCCTTCACATTTCTGAAGTAGCGGCTCCTGAAATGTTTAAAGCGTAATGCCGGCTAGATTTTCACGGCTGTGCCTTTGTAGAATAAAAGATTTGTGTATCGGCGGAGGGGGAAAATAATTTAGTCTCCGATGCTGGAGTTACACAGTTGCTTTTCAAATTCCAAGTTTTGGTCCTTTATTTTATTCAGCAGTGAAATGCCATGAATACAGAAAATAATGTCTGTTACAATTCTCAACCATGACCTTCTAATGTCAGAGAACCTTTAACGTATGGACACAGTACACAGTAATGAGAAGTATAAAAAAAAAAGTAGTTGAATCTCGATCGAAAGGAAGTAAAAAAAAAAAAAAGGTTTTCACCAATTACATAAACATATGTTTGCTACAGTCCCAATTTACTGTATACATAGGGGGATCATATTCTCATTATCAGAGAAGGATAGCAGTAGAAAGGATACATGACTCAACTGCCAGACATAATGCTTCATAAAGTATGCACAGAGGTACAAGCAATAAATACACACATTAGGTTAAGCCTTACAGCTACGCAAAGCAGATGCAGAAAAAGCAGGTTTGCTATTCTTAGCGAGCAATGAGAGAGAAACAGTAAAAATTCAGGTAAGTCAGAAAAGAAACACAGATTTTTTTTTTTTCCTCTTAGAAAAAAGTCTGGTAAATTTATGGGTCCACCAAGGTTTTTTTTTTTTTTTTCCTTTTTACATAAGTATGCACAGTTATCAAAATACAGACAAAATCAACCCAGAAAATCCAGACAATCCTAAAATCTAGTGGAGGAGCAGATCGCAGTTCTGGAGGTCTTTCTGGTATTATGTGCAAGCAACTATTTTAGACATTTTTTTTTACTTAATTTATACAAAACCCATGCAAATCTACAGGTAATATGCATTCTGTGACTGACAGGTTTTATCCCTCCCAAAACAGTATATCTGAGGTAATGCACTCTTATGCATTGTACATGTAGGCCATCGTCCTGATGAGTTGTATTATATTCTTTTTATTAGTTCTTGTTTCCAGTCCACCAAATGATTTTTAGACATGCATTTTTAAAACACAATATTCCCTTACAGGTAATCTATACATCATCATTCTACAAATGTTTGCGGACAACCTATTACAATGCAAATCTTCCGTATCTTGACGCAGGGAATGTAAACGTCGGTTTGAGCCACGTCCTATGAGACAAGCGCAGTAAAGTGTAACAGCCCCTGTGGCCTTTCTCATAACTCGTGCAATCCGTCATAATTGTTCCTAACTTGTTGTGCAGAGGTAGAAGCTTTTAGAAAGCCTTTTTGGGTGAGTGGGAGAACCCTTTTTTTTTTTTTTTTTTTGTGAAAGACGCAGCGCCCTCTTTATTTGGTGTGATAAGATTATTAAGGACGTCGTCTTCAAGTCGTTTTGCTGACTCCAGCTCGGTACTGAAGGGACTAGCTTTGTTCCTGGGCCCAGAACCCTCTTGACGTGGAACTGGCACGTGTGTGTGTGTGTGTGTGTGTGTGAGTGAGTGTGTGTTTCCACGCTCCAGAGCAACATATGCACAGTGTTGTTCCCGTTTTGGTCAGAAGGGGCGGACGCTTTGCTCTACAGCGCCGCACAAAGCCGGCTTTCTGCTCCGACGTGGTGGGTGTCTGCAAATGTGTGTGTGTTTTTTTTAAATCCCATACAAGAGGAGGCAGAATTTTGTGTAACTTTGGTTTACTGAAAACAGAAATGACCGTTAAAGCAACAACACTTTTCTAGATGACATAAGCGGAGAGGAAAAAGATGGGAGATGCTGATTTCCACCACAAAAACGGACTGTGTCTATAAAGTTTAGAAGCTGTGACCCACATAATGACTATATTCGATGACGTTAAAGCAAATATCACCTAGAAAAAGGTTACCTCTCACCTTAGATATCCTCTTCAGCAATGGCTCTCACTATTTGCTTTTACATGCTCACCAAGCCACATCATTTCATATTAACTTGAAATCATGACTTATTTGGCTTCACTAGATATTTTTCATGTTTGGTTAGAAATGTTTTCAGTTTCGGTTTGGACGCGGCTCAGAAACAAAACCCGCCACGGTACATGGACAGTCCCACGTAAAACGAGACACAAAGGAAACAGAAACAGAGGAAAAAACTGCGACTTCTGATGGGCGATGCGTTAGAAGGGACACAAAAAAGAAAAACTTCACAACAACACGATGCTTTCTGCACATCCATCGACGACACGAATGCTTTTGTTTTGGTCATGATCCACTTTTACAGTTAGCTGCTCTCTACTGGCTAAATCACCGTCACAAAATGCCTGCAGGTCAGAAATCACGACGCCTTTCACCTGCAGCTCGCTCTGATCTCCCAAAGTGGACGTTTTATGAGTTTCTCAAATTACAGGAGAAAAATCAGCCTTTCTTTCATCTTTGTATAGGGCTAAATGAAACAATCCCCGAGGTTTTTCCAAGGTAGTTTGCTGAACGAAAGCTTCTCTTTGTACTAGTTTAAAGTCACAGAAGGCGGACCAAGAAGAGTTTGGCGGCTTCTGTCTATAAGCTATTGGCCATTGCTAGTGTTGGCTTTGGTTTCTAGCTGTTGCCTGTGACTGTTTGCAGGTAGACAAAGCTTTAGAACGCAGAGGTAAAAGGAGAACAGCGAAAAAAGCAAATGATGCGGAAATGCATTTGTTTTGTGGATGGCGCTTTAAACAAACTACTGCTGTGTTCCCATTTTCAGTTCCAGTTTTTTTCTTTTTCTTTTTGCTTTCTTTTTGTTTTTGTTCAACTTACACAAACGAGTAAAAGACCAGAAGCCAATTTCTTTCTCTTACTTTTTTTTCCTGGACAGCTGCAAAAACAGTCTTGGTAGCGCGGCTCCTTTTTACTGGCGTGATTTGGGGAATGGAATTTACAGTTGGTGGGTTTCTTAAAATCATATCAGGAAATTAACAACGACGGAAAGCAAGAGGCTAAAAATAATGAACTGGTTTTCATAATCGAAGCGACATACAGGCAGTGACACAAAGATTCGAGACTACTCCTGTGCAAATGATGACAGAGCAACAACTTGAATTGAACCAGCAGTTGTCTTTCGGCATGAGCGACTACCGTGGGTTGGATTATTCACAAACAGAAAATGTCTTCCTTTTTTGGCAGTATACGAGGCCGCTAGCTTTCCACGGAACATGATTTGCTTATTTGTCTCATGTTTTTCCCCCCCCCGTCCATGGGTCCATCCTTCTGGTGTGTGTGGCCACGCCACCCCTAATGAAACGGGTCTCAGAGAGTTTTTTCTTTATTTTTTTTTTTTAAACAGACATCACATGTCTGTCTGTCTGTCTGTTTGGGAATCCCAAAGGGCTGCAACAGAGAGTTCCTTTGGATTGGTCTCTATCCGGATTCATGCTCAATAAATAGTCCCAGTGGTGAGAGAGACAGAGAGAGTCACCTGTGGTTTTTTTTTGGGCTGTGGAGTGGTTTCTAGTCTTGTAGATCTGAGTGGGAGGAACAGTGCGGTCGGGTGAAGGGATACATGGACCAAAAACCGTATCCTAGTCACTCCAGGTCTTCCGACAGGTTCCCCTCCTCCAGCTCCCGGTCGTCCTCCAGCTCCGGACTGTGATTGGCTGTCGTCACCAGCGACATCGGACAGTCGTCATCGTCCATGTTAAGCGGCTCCTCCTTCACGTGAACAGGGGGCCTGTGAGACAGTAGGAAAGCTAGTAAACGCTCCACTCTTTAATGACAACGTCCTGCAGCCTTTAGCGCTTCTGATCTCCTGATAACAACTGTTATAATAACATAAATCACTCCGGCTGTAAAACAGCAGGGAAAAAAATGCATTTCGGGTCATTAGTGCAGTACAGTGAGCCGATCAGCTAATATGCATGTTCTGTTTTTATCAGAAATGGGCGTGACGAGCTTCATTATGCAGCAGAAGTAACAGCCGTGTTGTTTGCCAGACGCTAATTCGACATGATGCCTCACGTCTACTGTAAGTAAGCGCATGAAAATTGCATGGAAAATGCGGCTCCTGTAAGGCCGATAAGCTGTGATGTTCCAGACATGTTTGGCATTTAAAAGTTTACTGATGACACCAGGTTGAAATACATGAAAAAGGAAAAAAAAAAAGGGGGGAGGAAAAAAAAAAAACAGGCCACATGATAAATAATGGAGAATTTCTCATCCCTGAGCCCCCTGGAGCAAAGGCAGAGGAGAGGCTTTTTTTATCTAGTTAATAGAAAGCACAGCCACTCGTTAATATGCAGGGGCTGTGCATGTCGCTCCTCAAGAGGAAAAACCGGCAGCTAGGTTCTGCCATTAATCAACTTCAGCCCCGGCAGTTGCTCGGACACCATGATACATGTTTTTAACTCTAAATGGATGAATATCTTCAGCCACTGTCAATAAGCGGCGGGCAGGAAGCGCCGGACGCCGCTCCCCTCAGAACCACAGAGGAATGGGCGGAAAACAAAGTGTTGGACGGCTAACAAGAATAATAATGCTGTCACACACAAACAAGGCATAACATGATCCGGGGCCCTAGTCGGGGAGAAAGGGTTTGTGCCACGATGATAAATCTGACAAAACCTAATTATTTTTGACACATCGGATGCATCAGGAAGTCCCCGTAGACAGCCAAAGAGGAGAGGGAGACTTATCAAGTGGTGGTGCGTTAGGATGCGCCTCTCCTGGGCTGCCTTCATCAGTGGAGGAGGAGGGGGCGGGTTTGAATTTGAAAAGAATCTTTAAAAGGTACAGATGACTTTAATATTCCGAGCCCAATACTGTAAATTAATATTCTGATGCGGTAGGATGAGAGGAGGAGGCAGATCTCAGCCCGATGCGAGCGGAGCGATGAATATTTCTGTTTCTGTCCCTCTGCTTTGTTGCTCGTACAGGAGAAAAAAAAAAAAAACAACTCCTCTTTCACTCAACCGTTTTACACTCCTATTCTTCCCGGTTTCCGGTGCATTAAAATTCACACCACAACAACATGGCTGTGAGCAGCAGTGGGGACGTTTTAAGTCGTTTTAAAATAGACCTGCACACCACAGCTTTCGCACAATCCTGCCCAGAAAACAATGACACAATTAGCCTCATTTGGAGAAACGCATAAACGATCAGATTATGTTTCAGCTGCTTGGATTACACGCGACTGCCTACAAATGCTTGTTTTTTTTCAAACGCTCCTGATCATTACTTCAAAATGATAATGAGCACATCCCACTGATCGGCTCTCGCACCTGAAGGTGTCCTCGCCTGCTTTTAATACGCGGCTCATTAGTTGTTTGTGTGGCTCCCGAGAAGAATCGGCCGGGCCGCCTTCGCAGGCTGGAGCTTTTTCTGACACTTTATTAAGATATGTGGACGAGCCATTTAGTGCTTAATGGCTAGCTGCCATTACAGAGTCACTCAGGAGTAAACGCCGGTCTTTTGCGGTGTAATAAATACAGACGTGTGTGTGTGCGTGTTGTGGAGATGCCTGCTCTCACATCAGTTGGAGATTAGCAGCAGCAATCATGCAGAGGTATGTCAGGGATGCAAATAAGGTCATTAGTCCGGGCGGACTAATGGTGGGTTGGGCGACAGAAGTGGGGAAGCGCGGGAGGGAAGGGGGACATTTAGAACATCTCACTATGATTCATTAACTAACACCGGAGAGGGGTGGTCACCCAACAATTAAAAGTGACGGCCTAAGACACAGCTCGCCGGACGAAGCGACGTCCAACAGATTCACTTCTACTTCCTGATGAAGTTGGAGGAAAATTTCTGGGTCCGTTTTTTCGAACGAGGTGGCCAATTTGCTCCAGTTGGGAAGTCTAATTGAGGGGTTTTGGTCTTCCCGGGTGTTGCAGGCACCGCTGCTTTTAAGCATCCCCCTCAGGGCGTACATGAGCGTATTACACACGCGCGCTCGCACGCACACACGCAGAGCCGGCAGGGCCCAGGGCAAGCCGGGCTGCGGTTAAGCAGATATCATTAACCTTTAGACATTTAGGGGCGGAGCCGGGGACTCCTCTCCCGCGAAGGGCCTCGGAAGTGCTGTTCTCTTTAGTTAGAGCTACAAGCCACTCTATTATTTAAACAGGTTCTGGAAAAGCCGGTGGAGAAAAACACATTTCTTCCATTTTGAGGTTGTCGCGGCTGCACGGAGGCAGGCGGGGATGGAGAGCGAGGGGGGGGGGGGGGACAGATGAATGCATCTCATCTCCACAGCCACTCGTGTCAAGGCGGAGTGGTCACAGAGAGGAGAACGCAGGAAGGGACGCAGAAGTCAGAACTGGCCTGTTAGTGAAAATTAAATGACCTGAGGGAGTGGGTTTCTAACGCTGGCTTTCTGTCTGGAGCCGGGCAGATTTGCTCCACTTAACACCCCATTTCAGAGCCAGGAAAACATGTCCACATTTATTAACGTATAGACACTTGATAGGATTAAGCAAACACACTCATAAACACACTCAGCCGCGTCCAGAGCAGAGGTGGTTCGATAGAGTGGGCAGACTTAGAACGGTGGATAGGAAACATCAGTGTGTCATCTTCAGGGTTTATTCTAAAACGTTGTTTGTTGTGTGCGTTTCCATGCGAGCTCGTTCCTTTACTTGCTCAGACATTCCTGAAAGTCACACAAAATCAATCTTTAAAATCCCCCTTTCAGCTACATTAAAGAAGAGATGTGTAAAGTAATTAATGCTCTACTTGATAAATATTAATAGGAACAGCCCTGCATAAAAAATAGCAGCTAAGCCTCCAGAACGCACGCTGTGGTGTAATCAAAGACTAAAGTGTAGTAAGAGACTATTTATAGACTGAAGCTATAGCCCACAATGTCAGGCTGACTCCAGGTATAACCACAGAGAGAGGCAAATGGCCGATCCTCATAACGGGCATTTTTCAGACTGAGCTTTGTCCAGAGACTGGGGGTTAAAGGTCACACAGCTGAACTGACAAAGGGCTCAAGATTTCAATGAATCAGTTACATTTTACTGAAACACTGCTTCAATGAAAGGGAATTAGCGAAATTGAGGACATTCAAAGACAGTATTTCCAACGACTAGCTGCTTTGAAGGAGATTAGAGTGGATGCTTTTCCTTTTCCCCCCTGCAAAAAACAGTTAATCTGTTTCATTTAATGTTGCAGCTGATTAGAAGGCGGCGGACTTCTTTTCTCTGGAACTTACATGTGTACAGGGGGGGAGTATCCGGGGCTGCTGTGGTCGTTGGCGTCCAGGTGGTCCAGAGAGCCGTTGAGCTCGTCGTGGGCAGACTGCAGCAGGCCGGGGGGGCTGATGCTGTGCGCGCCTGGGGGGCTGCCCCCCAGCAAACCGGGCGGGCTCCCGCCTAACAGTCCGGGCGGACTTCCTCCGGTCAGTCCGGATGGGTCCCCGCCCAGGAGGCCGTGGCAGGTGCCTCCCATTGGACCCGCGGCGCTGGTCATCAGCCCCGGGGTCCCCAGCAAGGGCAGGGAGGTCTCCGCCAGGGCGGCCTGCACGGAATGGACAAGAACAGGGACGCTCAGCAGGGATTGGCCTCCAAGTGACAGATGCAGCAGATTTGAAACTGGTTTGTTAAAACTGAAGGATGATGGGAGACACGTGTCAGAATCAGAATCAGAAATATTTTAATAACCCCAGAGGTGTTATCACATGAAAAGTTCAAATGTAAAAAGTTGGAAGGCAGGTAAGCTGTGAGCCCCCCACCAGCCGCCAGTCACGAGCTCTGCCGTGATGTGTCTGTGTACTACAAAAAAGAGAAAGTCCCTGCGAAACTTCCCCTCACAATAATAAAAACTCCTGACACTTTCGCCTGCTGCGCATTAAAGTTATATACAGCGATTAAATTTTTAAAGTTTTTGCCATGAGTACCTCGCTGGCGTACACCGCGAAGCCAAATCATTTATGACAGCTCAGATAAATATTAATGCACATGCCCTTGCATTTGCACATGCCGCAATCAATCTGGGGTGGCTGCCACGTCCCAGAGAAAGGAAGGGGAACGGCGAGAAAGAGTGAGGGCTGCTTCTTGGCTCGACCACAGGGTGGCCTTCAGAGGGTGGAGGGGAGTGTAGGTTTCCCCTGTTCGGTTAGTACCTGTAAGCTGGCATTTAGTGCAGTTCCGTAACCAAGGCTGGAGGGCAGGTTCTTGACGAGAGATGGACTTCTAAACAAAAGAAACAGTAAGAAAGCAAAAGCAAAGCGGTCAGCACACGTCCCTGTGAGACCTCCAAATGCCACCGGTGTGTGGAGAGAGAGGTGCCAGAAGTCCTACCCTGTGATCTTCTGCGACCGGCGTTTCTGGTACTCCACCTCATCCACGGTCCACACCGCCCCCTTCACGTTCTCCACGCGCACAAAGCACTTGTGCAGGCTGAGGTTGTGGCGGACAGCGTTCTGCGGAGAGACGGCACGCGCCGGTCAGACAGGAGGTAAAACAAATCATATTCCTTCATTATCCCTCACCCCAATAAAAAAAAAAGGCCTGGAAATAGATTTTTTCCTTACATTTTGAAGAAATTCTTAACATTCACGCACCATTGATTTAATTAGTAAAAATTGAGTGAGAGCGAATGCTCTTACAAGTCCTGCACACAGTACATATCAATCAGAGTAAGTAGGCTAAAAGGAGGTAATCAGCATAGCGAATGGCTTATGGTGGTGACAGAAGTGGTAATGCCGGCCTTGATAATGGTGATGTCAGTAACCCTTCCTGCTCCAGAAAAGCATAGCTCTTAATGGACACATCGCTTTAAAGATGACAGTCTTGGAGGAAGAAAAGACAGTCATCAGGAGGCCCTTGTGTCGATGTGTGTGTTGGTGAGAGAGAGCGTGCGCGGGTTCGAATTAAGCTGAACTCCATCTGACATCTATATGTCCACATATTCTTCATGTGGTGTCACATCTGGTGTCGAACATGTGCTCACACGACACACTTATCCTTTAAATTTATTATCAAAGCTTCCTCAAATTAAAAACAGGATATCATTCATTATTGAAACCAGCGAGATGTTTTCATTAATTACAAAATAATAATGTCCTATAAAAAACTCTGATTAATACAACCATATGACCATAATTAAAACATGCACTGGACTCTACAAATAATAACCTGGCTTTAATATCTCTGCCTCCCATATTTATCATCTCTCTTGGCTTGGTGTGTACAGCCCTTTCCTCAAGGAAAGGGACTCAGAAAAAAGAAAAAAAAAAACTCATAAGCAGATCTCGCATCTGACCTGAAAATCCCAGGATTTGATTGATCTTAATGCCCATGGCTCTGAATATGATAATTTTAATATTAATGAGCAAATGAGCAGTTTTATTATGCATGCTATATAGTTAGAACTAATAAGCTTCTGGGTGAGAGAAAGGAAAAGTGGGGCTGGGGGTGTGGGTGGGGGGGTGCAGATCTCTTTTGAGCTGATGAGACCAAGCTGAGATATTAAACTACCTTTCATTTCTTTCTCTCTCTTCTTTTTTTTCAAGGCATTCTCTCCGTTAATCAAACGACAAGCCCATCGCTGATCATCACACTAATGCTTACAAAGGGAATTGTGGAGCTGCGGATGTAAATAGATCACCTCGGTTATTGTGCACGGTCGGAGACAGGGAGACTAGATATTTCTAAAGTCTGCCACAGCCCCCTGAAAGGAACAATGGAACTTAGGCGGGAGAGGAAGAGCGAAGCCATTGATGGAGCGCAGATGGAGATGGCTTGTGTGACAAACACGGCCAAAACTGCTGAGAACCTATCCTGTCATAACATTATTACACAGCAAAACACGGGGCATACTGTACTTAACAAACTGGAAAAGGGCACCGATCTTTTTTGCACGCCCTCCTGAAGTGGTGATCACACACCCTCGTGCTCATTTGCATCCCAAATCCACATTAATTCACTTTGCTAAATCTAGTGCTGTGACACATCTCGCATGCTGATGAGCGGCTGGCTGCTGGAGTTTTCCCTCCAGTCCTCCACGCAGCCACAAAGGCTAAAGGCAGCAAACGGGGAGCGTGCAGGGGCCGGGGGGATAAAACACCGGAGACACCCGGGCTCCGCCAGCCTTGTCTTTATCAGCAGGCAGACACACTCTGGCGTTTTTCACCATCTTTGTGCAGGCAGACAGGACAATAAAGTTGTGGGGACAGATGTACAAATGGGCCCTTTTGTGTGGGTAAATAAAGAGCGCTCCCACCGTGACAGGCTCATTCTCACTTCCTCCTGCTTTAGCTCCATCTGAGCACACCCTTAACCCTTCTTTTTGAAACAGTTGATATATTTGTGTGTGAGCGGGAGGGTTTCTGTGTGCGTGCATCTTTGTCGTGCCCCTCCGCACAGCTCAGAGCTGCTCAACAGCCATCTTTCCTTACAATTAACCAATGATATGCAGGGGACTGTAGTTTCAGGAGTAGGAGGAGGGGTGCATCTCTTAACAAAAGCTGCTGATGATGGAATGGCTGCCGTATAATTAGTGCGTCAGAATCCTTTCCTCTCCGTGCCAAGCCTCCGCTATTAATTGCGCCAAATTAGAAAAAGATATCTGAAGGGGAATAATTCTTTCAGCTGTCATTTCTCAACACAAAAAAGCGGTAAGGTGGAAAATAAATAAGAGGGAAAAAAAAAAGCTTTGTTCAAGAGAAAGGTTAGAAGGAAGGGGATTGGGGTGTTAATCGCTTTGTGTTGAGTAAATATCTGCTTTCCTGAGGTTTTGTGTTTGACTTCAGCAAGTGGAAGGACTTTTTTGTTGCTTTGGACTAAGAGGAAGAGGATTTGAGGGACGGGTTTTTATCAAGGTTACCTTCCAAGTTGCAGCGTTGCGTCTGAAGTAGGCAAACGTGCGCGTGAACCAGCTGTATATTTCATTAAGCGTTAACTGCATGTCGGCAGAGTCCATGATAGCCTGAAATGAGATGACATCAAATAATGGTTTACTAAGGGTGGCTCATACCAACAGGCTGAGAGTGGAGAGAGCTGCCATGATTCATGCAGCAATTAATTTTAATCTAATCAAGCAAAGTTAATTTATTTCCCACTCACCTGTCTTATGAGGGTTGCATAAGTAAATGGCGGTCTGACATCTGCGTTCTTATAAAACTCGTAGTTTGGGGCAATCTCTGGAAAAATAAATACTGTGTCACCACCTGAAATAATTGGTAAATTTTATTCCTTTAGGTACTGAATTTACTCAAGGTCTCATCAAATTAAAAAGGAGGAGGGGGGTGGTTGGAGGGGGAGACAAAGAGGGTGGGGAAGGTCGGAGGGGGACACATCAAATCAGCATTTCCTATGTCTAACAAAATGCATTTTTAATTAAGCTCTCTCGAGAGGGATCTTAAACACTTATACATACACAACATGAGATCTGTGCAGTTAGTTAGCGTTAGCGTAAAGTTGAATAATTTATGCTTCTTCAAACTAAACACACAAAGTAAATACAAACATCAAAGACAGACCGTTTAAAATGCAAAGCATTAATACATGGGGCGTCTTAATGTAATAAATATTGTATTTTTCCACCATTATTTGAACTTAATTAACATTCATGCAATATTTATGCACAGAGGAAGTTTTCGTCTGTTTACATGTGGAGTGATTAAGAGCGGGCCTGATTTTCTAAACCAAACCAGCCAGACTTCTCAGATTGGTACCGTATGTGTGTGTTTACGCAGCGGCGTGTGATGTGTTGTGCTGGCTTTGGAATTAATGGCGCCGTGCTCTTGGTTGAGCTATCACTTTAATTTGCTGTTTGAACAACCGCTAAATTGAAATAGAATAGCTTTATTTCCTTTTAGAGTCACGTAAGCAGTCAGATTAAATCAGACTGCGCGCCCACGGCTGTGCGTTTGTGGCTCGGTTGTGTTGGTGCTGGGCGCTGAGTAGTTGGTCCTACCTGACGACAAAGGCATGGAGTACTTGTCCGAGTGGCGTCTGCGCATGGCTCCCATGCTGGGGACGTTTGCGCCTCCCAGTACCGACGGCACCTGGGGCATGGCGGCCATGGGTGTGATGGGGGCGGTGGGCGTGGTGGGGGTCTGAGGTAAGTTGGGGGGCGATGCCGAGGGCAGGTTCTTGGACATGGTGACGCTGGAAACCAAGTTGAGCTGCAGACAAAACAGCACAGAGTGAGATTCATCAGGCGGAAAAGAGAGAGAAAGAGAGAGAAGTGTGTGACCAGGGAGGAGGGAGGAAGCATTTTGGGGTTTCTTGCACGGAGCGGAGTGTGTGTGCGCTCCTCTTCTCTAACACAGCTGTGTTTCCACTAACAAGGCTCGTGAAGAAGAGCCAGCCCATCTCCACTAATTACAACCACCAAATTGTATCATAAGAATTCTAATTAGAGCACGCTGTTCGAGATTATCCAACGATCAGCCTCCGTGTTATCCTGGCCTCATCTCTCTTTATCTCTCTATTTATCACATCCTCCCTCCCTCCCTCCTTCCCTCCTCGCCCACCCCACTGCAAACACTCATCGTCATTACCTACTGGAAGAAATGAACAACAATAAAGTCCAGCGTAAAATCAAATCCACTTCCTGAATCAGATCAAACAGCAGACAAACCCCTGCTGACCAGGGAGGTGGATGATGTCATTCTTACACATCAACAACGAGAAGTCAGCTCAACTGATTTTAAATGGGCTGCTTCAGTTAGTCAGACTTCACGGACAGAGAGCAGAATATCCGGCTGACCACACGATCTGCCACGCACTAAATTGCTTTTTTTAAAACACCCTCCCTAACAGAACTTCAGGAGAAATTATCAGTGCCGCAGGCCTAATGTCCCCAATTCAGCGTGACTCTCTGTAAGTTCGCGATCCGTCTTTTAGAGTAAAGCTGTGGAGACAAGTTAGAAAAATCCACATTGACAGTTCTGGTTGTTTCAGACACTAATTCACTCTTTACTGGATCTTTGTCTCCACTCCTTCAACATCAGAGACGATGGAGTGATACTTACCTCTGGCTGGAGTGCCAACTAAGCTTGCTAATCGTTCATCTTCTCCACCACTTTTTCCATTTGTCTCCCAAATCTCATGTGAGAGGCTCTAACCGACTGGAAAATTCCTCGCTGACCTTTTAGTCTCGGCACTAATTTAGTTCGAATGGTAATGACATCGTTACATATTCAAGCCAAATTGCCTTAATTGTGAGCCTACAAGTGGAATGCATCCGTGGCGGGAGTTTGAAGTGAAATCGACTTGAAAGATGGAAGGCAGCGCGGGGCCGAAGGCGCTGAGAGACGGAGGGTGAGGCCGAGGGGAAGGTATCGCCGGCCAATTGCAGCTTGTGTTGATAAATAGGATAAAATGTCAAGTTTAAGAAACTGCGGTGGACGGATGGTAATTATATCCCCACTTTGCTTTAATGAGATGCCACAGTGCTGCCAATACAAGCTTCTGCTGAGCGGTTGGAGGTTATGGAGAGAAAAATGCAAACCCAAGTATGGACAGTAATTCCCCTCCATCCTGTTACACGTTTTCGAAAACCCACCGAGATCTTTTGTTAGATCCCATCACTTCTGTGCTGAGGATAAACATACACGGGTGTCATGGCCCCCAACAAATCTTCTCCCTTTAAAAAGCGGGGAAGCCTTAAAACTGAGGACTTAACTGTTCGTTTAGGAATTCTGTCTGAATTGCCCCCACCATCAAATGCAATTAGCTGCTCTTTCATGTGTGCTTTATGTAATGCAATACTTCATTAGCATCATTCATTCATATTCAGGCGTGGATTATAGGCTGCAAATTCTTTATTGGACAAGATGGAACCAAGCTGCTGGATTTTTGAAGATAAAAAAAAAGAGCTACAGAAAGGGAGAGAGCAAGAAAGCGAGATTGAATAATAAAAAGGGAGTTTGATTCCTGATGGAATTATGGGATAATTATGCTATCTTGTGATTATCTACATTCTGTGATGAGAGGTGATGAGGAAAATTATGCTATTGAAAGTAGGCACTTACTAAGCAGCAGATAGACGCTAACAATGTTTTGCTGTCTAATATATCAAAATGTCTAAAATTGAGGGGGGGGGGTAATGTTTTCCAAAATGTATGATTGTAATACCAAATTCAAATACTGGTTAGAGTGAATGCACTCATAGTCATTCAAGAAAGAAAATTCAGAATGACATAATTTTCCCTCTTCAATGACCCCTTTTACAATTTTGGGCTTTTTCTGGGATCCAATTTCAGCCCCACTGTGTGTATTCATGCTGGAATCGAGCTGTCTTCGCCACTCAGCTGTTATTTTCAGCTGTTTGTTGTTAAAATGACATATCTTCTCCTCGCTCATTCCACTTCTGAGTGCTTCTGCGGCCACTGAGCCAAACAGTCATCAGCAGGCAACAGGTTGTTTTGGCTATTATATCTATCACAGAGAAATGACCCCGCTGTTCCAGCCGAGGACTCCGCCGCTCCGCCATCTAATACACTTCCAAAGTCTATTGTCCTCTCGTCCTCTCGCTATAACTGATAAGAAGCAGATGTAACTGTGCATTGCAACTCCCACCTCCCCCCCTTTCATCTCAGGCGGTCAGCGGCCGCCTGCTTAAGCTGTTCATTTTCTGGGAGGACGGCGTGTTTACGGCGGGCAGCAATATGCACTCACTGGTTTGGGAGATGATTTGGGTTCTGAGGGCCGCATGTGCAAGTGGGTCATCATGGCCTGAAGACGCTCGCGTTCTTTAGAAAGCTGCGGAGAGAAAAGCAGAAGAGAGTGCATTAGAGCCGATTAGAAAGGAGTGGAAGGAGGAGAGGAGGAAAGGACACAATGAAAGAGAGAGAGAAAGAGAGAGAGGATGAACGAAAGACAGAGCGAAGGAAACAAGAAACACATCAAGGAACCAGAGAAAGGGATAAAGAAGGACAGAAAGGCAGCGGTAATCTAAGGAGAATATGAGAGTGGGGGGAGACAGCAGGGGAAGGTGCAGACAGGTCAGGCAAAACAAATAGCATTTCATCTTTTTGTCAATAGCAGAATTTAGGTCAGCGAGGCTTTGACAGTAACAAGCTGGCTGGGCCATAAATTAGGTGGTCCTGAGTGTCTGCTCAAAGTCCTGTGGACACTGTTAGGGGGATGGAGCGCAGCCAGCAGCTGCTGAGAGGTGAAGGGGTCTTCCAAACAGGGGGCCAGCCGGCCCCGCCTCCACAGTCCAGTTAGTGGCCCCAGCCGGTGCCTATCATCAATCTAATTCATATGGAGTGACAGGGACCGGACCGTGTGAAGGGCTGAACACACCCCGCCACCCCCGACACACACACACACACACACACACACACACACAGTAGGTATGCACACTCACACACACACGTGCACAGAGCTGGGCCTCATTACTAGTGATGGCTCTTGTTGAAAGAGGAAAAAAGAGAGGGATGATGGAGTTAAAGAATGAAAGAAGAGACAGCCCTGTAATTGGTCACACTGTACAAACTAATAATCTGGGGCCTGAAATAGAAATGAAAAACTAAACAAGTCTTTCCAAATATACATGCATCTGTGAGCCGAATCAATCTATTTCATTTCAGTTCATTTATTTACGTATTGGATGCTCCAGATTCCAGCCAGTTAATTCAAACCGTTCACGCTTTAGGCGATAAAAGCGAGTGGGAGGCGCCAGGAAAGCCTGCCTGTTTCCAGCTGCTGCTACTATGTTTAAGCCCACTTCCTAAAGTACATGTCTATTTGTTTCTAAAGGAAGAGCAGCGCATGTTGGCGGTGCTGAGTAATAATGCCGCTCAATCAGCGCTCTCATTATCTAGCCAGCATGACTTCTTAATAAGGTCACGCTCCACCTACTGAAAATAGTTCCCTCCTTTTGAGCTTTCTTCAGGTGCAAAGTGCAGTTAATTAACACAGCAGACTGGGAGAGATGCGCTCGCTATTAATTGGAGGGGAAGAGGGAGGAAAGAAAAAAAAGAAAGCGGAAAATAAAGCATTGCCTTAATTCAATTAAAACATCCATAATGGCTTTCGTTGTAAGGCCTGAGGATTCCTTTGTTTAGTGGCTTTGTTGAATTCAGCAGGTCCTGCTTGTTCCGGAGTCTTAGGCAGACCACAATGTGGCCTTTTTTCTCCGGCTTCCACAAGTTTAAAAAAACAAAGTTTGAATGGAGACGGAGTGACTCGGGTTCTGTTAAATGTGATAATGGCAGAATCTGACAGTGAATGTTCTCCTAATTACCTGTGTGAGAACTTACCTGTATTTCAAGCTGCTGTACAACCTGCATCTGGACTCTACACTGGGCTGTGCTCCGGTCATCCAGGGCGTGTTCACTGTTTAGGTGCCTGGTGAGACGGGGATAAGACACCAAATTAGAATCTGTCACTTGTGCCGCATCCTGAAGAAGACAGCGAATTATATTCATTTTCAAGATCAAAATTGTGGAGGCTGATAATTGCAGTATCACCTACACCCATGTATTGTTTTTTTCTGATAATATTTCTTTACCGGGACAATTATCTATAGGATCTAGTTAGCAGCCATTGTTCCAGGCTGAAATGAGGTAATTAGAAGTAAGGTGATGGTGTGCGTTGCCATGTTTAACATGACAATGGGGCCCGCGCCAGCTTCCATGGCTAGCTTCAGTGCCACCCTGAGCACTGCCTTCTTCTGGGAATAAAAGATGCTGGCCCAGCAGAAAGGCTTTGTTGCCTTAATTTACAGAAAACAATACACACAATTTAACACCGGTAACATTTGACACACAAAAGCGGCTCTTCGCTTCAAGGTGCATTATCCCGCGCTAGACATATTAAATATATCTGGTGTGTTCGCCTCATTGGCAGAAAAAGGGAGCCAGACAACCAGAACAGTCAATGGGTTTTTTTTTTGTTGTCTTGATTAGATTTCGTCTGTGGGACACAAAAGCGCCACCATTAAGACAGAGCTTCATTCCCGCAAAAAAACACAAATATGTGGCGAGAGGGGCTTCGTAAAGTGTTGTGATGCTGGGTAATGAGCCTCTATCTAAATGATCATTGGTGACAAACTCACAAAGCAAGCTTTGAGGAGGCATGCTTATGAAATGCCAGAGCTGCCACTTTATCTCCAGTAATTATAGGTTAGCTTGCAGACCCTTCAATGATCATTTACAGCGCAGCCTCCAGTGCATTGAAGGGAGTGCAAAATCTCTACCCCTCTGGCTTTCATTTTATCTGAGAACACACGCTCGCTCACACTGCGTGAACCTGCACAAACTGGGATTGGCCACAGGAAAACATACACACACCCTCCACACGCTCCTCGGCTTCTTGTTTATCTGCCAGCGCGCTAAACAAGACAACCCCACGAGCCGGCTTCTCCAGGCCTGTCAATCAAGAGCTGGACGGAGCATTTGTAATCACAATAGCCCTGCACCTTTCAATTACACCGTGCGCATTTAAAACCATTTCATCTTGTCCCCGCGTATGCTTTCGTAACCATTCAGATCTCAGACGCTTTTCATTATAAATCAAGAATGAGGTGGCACTAAAGAAGGAGGGGAGAGGGGGGGAGGATAGATGAGGGACGGAGGCAGAGGGGAGGGACGGCGTGGTGGATTTCTTCAGCCCTGTGCCTAATTGCTGTTTCAGAATGCGCATGCAAAAAGGGGGCATTTCATTAATCATTTAATCACGTCCCTTGCAGGATGAGGGAACTAATGTTGCAAATACCCTTTTCATTTCACTGCCCATAATGCTATCTTATGCACTTGATGTATGGCGTGTGTCATGAATTACAGCTGCTTCAAAAGCACAGAGTGGGCTGCTCGCCGTCCCTGAAGATACCTCATTACAAAAAGAGGAAAAAAAAAGAAGACAAAGAAGACGGGGGAAATCTTTATTAAGCTCGCCTCTCATCGACAAGCAGCTTGTTTCTCCTCCGTTCTGCCAACGTGGATGTGTTTGCGAGCGAGGGCCTCGCACCGTCCTCCAGACAGTTCGAGCCTCCTACATTCAATTTCACTGCTGGGCAGTTAGCAAGGCGATTACAGGAAGATTACTACGTGCATTTATGAAATATTCAAATGGCAGCATGTTCTGCTGAGCATTAATAAAGCCAAACAAAGACAAATGGAGGAGGAGGGCAGATGCACATGACAGAAAGAGAATTACAATGAAAAAAGTCTTATTTACAGAAATATGGAAGAGAGAGGATTTTTAAAATATTCTTCTTCCTTTTGAGCTGCACACTTGTTTCATTCCATTAGAAATCTGCTTACATTTCCTCCTAAAATATTCCCCTTTTTACATTTCCATTACTTTATACTGTCTAGTCCTTCTATTATTTGCTTCAGTTATGGGCCAATCTTTATGATCTGAGGCTGAAAAATGGAGAAAAATGGACTGACCAAACTGTCAGAATATAATCACTTAAACCCAAAGGTTGACTGTTATTTGTCTCAATATCAAGCCTGGCTGGCTTCTGTTTATGCTTTCTGTTATGGCTCATTCTAGAGGAACATTGATTTCTGCCCTTCAGGGAAACCCACGTGAGTCAAGAACGGGGAAGAGGAGATGTAGATAGAGACTGAAAGATGTAGCCAGAGAAGAGAAATCAGAGCAAATAATGGCGAATAAAAAGAAAAGCCAGTGATAAACAGAAGTGACAAACCACAGATAAGGCCGTGTTGTTTCACTGGATCCTGCAGTTTGTCTTAAAGGGATGGGGAACAAAAAAATCCCTAAAGCTGCTCAGATGAATATGTATAAGCCATCAACATCCACTAAGGGCCTGATAATAAATCTACCCGAGCTGGTCTGTGTGGACGATACACTTGTGCTAATTGTCTGTGTGTATTATCAGGGGTTAGGAAGGCCCTGCAGAGAAAGTTGGCCCCCTAACTGTCTGCAAGCAACACATAAACATTCCCCACCAACTTGAGTCTCGTTCCAGTTCTGTAGACCTCCCTCCATATATAAATATAAACGTATTTACAGATGATGGTGCGCACACACAGTTGGTGTCAGTGCCCTCTCTTTTAAAGGTCTTGTCATGAGAAAGGCTGGAGGAGGGGGGGCCGGGGGGGGAGGGGGGGCGCTCCAGTGCACGCCTGCCTCCCCACCGCGCATATGTGTACATTATATTGAGAGGACGACATTTGGCTGCTGCCTTGTGGGTTTAATTAGCAGCCGGTTATAGACACCGACGTTCAGGTTAGTGGCTGAGTTTGCCATTTTAACATGGAGCCTGCCTTCCTGCCAGTAATAAGGAGAGCAGAGCGCTGACAGAAAGTTGAAGAGTTAAGTGTGTGTGTGGTGGGGGTGGCTCTTATCCATTTATATACAGATCGGCTTTTTCTGGAAAGCGGAAGACAATCTGTATAAAGAGGTACAAAGGTGGAAAGATAAACCAAAGGGACTAGAACTAAAGGTTTGAATGAACTGCAGTCTTTAAGTCCAAATCAGTGATGTCATGCGGACCCAAACTCATCCAGAGTGATAAAAGAGGCCTGTAAAACAACTCTCCCACATAACCTCAAAGCTTCATTGCGCCTCCGCTCTTTGTCTCGTAACTAACACAAATACGCCCACAAACCGGAGCGCCCACCACTTAGGAAACAGTCCCGGCAACGCTTTTTCATGTTTCAACATCACAAAGCTAACGCCGGCTGCCAGCCACCTCGCGGCTACCTTCTCCAGGTGAGAAGACTTGAAAAGCGCGGGGGGAGAGCTATTAAATGCTGATCCTGACAAGTTTCCTCACGCAACAAAACAATAGATGACTAAACGTGTCACCGCCGCTGAGCCGAGCTCCCGCAGCGAGCTTCCCTCCACCCTGCCACCAACATCTAAACTGTCATCTAAATTTGACACCCACTTTATGTAACCCCGTTTAAACTGTGCCCGCGCGTGTGTGTCGTGCGTGCGTGTCGTCTACAGGCATCTCCGGAAACATGAAAGGACTCCCTCTGACACCTACAATCACCGCTCCCAGGCACGCCGCCGAGCAGCCATCTTTGTTCTCAGGAGGAACCTGCCGTCTTTTTGTCGGCGTCTTGTTTCCACGCGCCGGGTCTGGGTTACGGGATGTGGGCGGGCGGGGCGCCGAAACCAAGATGCTGCTGCGTGGCAGCCAGTGTTCTGGCATGTGTTCTTACAAAAACCCGCCTGCCAACCTGCGCGCTCGCTTTCAAGTTGGAAATCTACCTGTGTTTTTTCCCCTCTCTCTCCGTCTGCTTTCGCGGCTGGTTGCGTTTGCATCCTTTTGCAAAAGGCTTAGCGGCTTACAGGATTCCCTGGCACACACCGGGGCCGCTAAGCGCTGCGTCTCCGGCCCCTCACCTGAGTAACCAGCTAAGCTACCCAGACACAGGATCCTTAGAGCACACAGTGCGAGCCGAACGTGTGGGGAGGAATGGGCCTGCTGCCTTCTTTAAGTTACTGCGCTGAGGTGATAGGCCGGGATATGGGAGAAGCTGCTAATCCAATGCAGGCTTGCTGGATCACATCTGTACCCCCCGAGCTGCAAGGCAAACTGACCGACCCGAACGGGTGCAGATGTAGTCCAGGTCTGACAGCGTTCTCTCAGCCTTAATTCTAAAGCGATGCCGGGAAGAGGCCTACAGATGCGCTCTGCGCCCATATTGGCTTTGACATGTTTGTGTCACAGTCTCCAAAGGGAATAAGCAAACACACTTGTCAGACTTTAGTTGGAATGTACGTTTACGTCCGCTCCGTTTAAATCCACCGCTGTCAATTGTGGCTCTTTTAAGTGTGTTACACGCCTCGACGGCGTGTGAAAACTCAGCCTGACGTCCTCGTCTTTGAAAGGCTGGTAAACACCGGTCCGTCATAGTTTCAATGCACGCAGACTCCGTTCAGCTTCAGTGGCGTAGAATTAGCAAAAACCTGACCTAAATCCAGCAGCAGCCCCCCGTGGGTAGACTAGTTTCCCCTATCAGTACTTTTCTGCACCTTATTACAGTCAATACTGTGGAGAAATGCAAAACTTGGAAAATAAGCCAGAACAATGTCCTGATTTCGAGAGTTTATGTGAATTCACGGGGACATTTACAGCGCACACAGAAAACACTCACCAGATCGTTATTTCACAGTTAATTACCAATCTAATTAGAATATTCAAACTGCAGCTTTCCCTTTCTTTTCTTCTCTGTGTGAGAGCAGGGAGCCAGGGAAAGAGGGAGGGAGAGAGCCTCTCGGTGAGTGGCAATGTGATAACCTGTAATCGGCAGTGCTGCAAACACCTTCTTCCTTTGATGTCCTCCCACTAACATCCTGGCAACAAAGCCGGCCAATTACAAATGAGCTAATTAACTAAATTGTTGATGGAGCATGAAGAGTTCATTTGCTCTGGCGCCTGCACCATGACAACAGTGAATGGGGGGCTTTTGTTGTGAGGGTAAGTGTGCGGCCGTGCGAGTTGCCATCAGCTTTTGACGCGTTCTCACAAACCTATCAGGCCCCTCCATGCAAGGAAGGAAAGTTGTTATGGATAAGAGCTGGTTTGAATCGTGCTTTGCTAGAGCGGAGCCCTGTCAGCTAACTGTCTGGGAGGTCAAAACGTGCCCTGTGGAAGGCAGAGAGGTTTTCTTCGGAAGGCCGGGGAGAAGGGGGGAAACATCTGAGACATAAAGCGTGTTCTTACTTCAAAAACTGCCCAAAGTCCTCACAGATGTTCTCACAGCCGGGCCACTTGCACACGCCGTGACCGTACAGTGGGTGAGTTCCTCCGCTTTCTTCGTGTAGTGAACTAGAATCAGACCAGAAAGAGAGGGACAAAAAATGAGCAAACGAGGAGAAGTAAACCAGGAGGGGAGGGGCAGTCTTAAAATGACCATAACTGCCTAAAGATGGTTAACATAAGGTCACAATCGAGTGGGATGAGATCAAAACAGGCCTGCTCAGCTCTGCGGAAGTCAGCCACACAGTTGGATACTGGATCTTGGAATAAAAACTGGTCAAAAAAGAAAATCTACTGTAGTTATGACCACATTAACTCAAACTAAGTGTGACAAATGTAAGTCCGGCTAACTCCTCCAACGGAAACCCACAACGACTTGGAGCTCCGTCTGCCCCACAGCCACCATCCCAGCTTGTAAAGCCATTACTGGGGGAGGTGGGTGGCTTTCAAGTAAACATCAAAAAGTCCAGACAGCCATTTCATTTTCGTCAGGAGATTAATACTGTGTGTAACTTATGTTCTTTGAGGACAGGGAGAGCAGGGGTGTTCTGGCGTTTTTCAAATGGCACCCAAATAAGTTACGACCCTGCCTAGACAGCACATCCTATTAAAGATGACAGTTTAACCTTTAGACTTGGCACTGCTGTGTGTGTGAAAATGTGAATGAGTGTGCAGTGGGTGCCTTGTAGTGCCTTTGGCTGCTCCCAGGTGCTTGCAGGCGTGTGGTCGATGACAACATGAGAGCGTCAGCTCAGGCTGAGCTCACGCTGGGTTTTACAGAGGGGCTTCCCCACATTGATCCGTGGCATGTTGGTAAGCAGCGTTCCTGACATCACTCCTCTTTCCTTCATTATGAGACGCCACGCTCCCCCCGGGGACAGCGGGCAGATAAAAAGTCTTGTTTTCTCTTTCTTCCTCCTCCCCTCATTCATGCTCTTTCTCCGTCTTGGTTCCAAAAGATATCTCTTTCAAGCCTCCTTTTAGTGGTACTGCCAAGATAGCATCTACTTTAAACCAATTACACAGCACTTCCACCTCCAGTGTGAGTCTCTACCAAACATCCACACAGACGCACGCATCTCCACCCTAAGTCCTTATTATAATATCGCCCAAGAAAAGCCTCTGAATAATGCATGGGCAGATGGGGAGATATGTGAACAGTCAGTGTTTCGGTGCCGGGTGCATTTCTAAAAGATGCTGTCACAAGAATAAACATCCTGGAAACGCCACTCAAGGCATCGTGTATTCTGTTTACAAGATGAGCACGCAAAGAGGGCAATTTCAAAAGAGAAAAAAAAGACAGAAAGCGCTAAATACTTAATGTACAAGGGGGTTACCTTGTCTTTTCTGCCAGGGAGGCTTGTTGTAAGCCTGCGTGGCTTCTTCTTCCTGCTTTTGATTTGTGTGTGCAGGCTAAGTGTGTTCAACGCTCCCTTGGGGGAAGTAAGGCTGCGCTTTTCCTTTAATATTACCGAGACACTAATAAATTATTGGGAAAATAAACACAACATCTTGTTTTCCCTGGAGTTTGGATGTTTTCTACAATGAGTCTCGGCACAATAAGCTGGTGTGACGGCTGCCACGCGAAAGCGCTGTGATCCCTTCTGCCTTTTTTCTAGCTGTGAAAAAGCCGACGGCCTTTGGGTGACTTTACCTCTCTCGCTCCCTTTCCCTTTCTCTTCTGTGGTTGAGGGCGGGCGACTGTCCGTTGGTGATCGAGTGGTGCGAGATGGGTGGAGAAGCTTTGGCGGGATTGGAGGAGGTAGTTGAAGAGGAGTTGTTGGTGGAGAGGTCTAGCCCGCCCCCACCCACGCCGGTCCCGGTGCCGCCCGTACCGCCGCCGCCACCGCCGCCGCTGTGTTTGATGCCGTTGTCCTCCATGGTGTGTCCACCGTTGCCGGTCACATCCTTCCACAACTGTTGGAGCTCTGCGGGGCTCAGGCCTCCTACATGAAGAGGGAGATTATATTACACAACGTGCTCATCAGTGCTCAGATAAAAGCTGAAAATCGTGAAAGAAAGAAAAGGCTTAACACTTCCAAGTCTTTAAACAGTGAGATAAGGGGTCACCATGAACGCAGACATGATAATAACTCACTCCACACGTGAATCTGAGCTTAACTTCCCTCTGAGGTCGATGTGGAAACATGAAAGGTTTCACACAAACTCATAAGTAAGTGTTCCCTCCTGTGATGCTTGTCAAACATCTCTCAGTGATTGTTTTTGTCTCCACCATTTTGGTGGTAAACAACAAACAAGTGTGTCTACTCGGCTCAGCGTGAGAAAATGGAGCCGGCTCTCTCTTTTCCCTCTTTGTACGTCCTTTTATATTCGTCTCTTTGGCTTCTCCCAGGTTCTGAGCCGAGGCAGTAATCAACAACAACAACAACAACAACAACAAGTACAGAAAGAAGGAGGGGGCTGGAGAGCGGGGGGAATAGATACAGAGACAGAAACAACAAACACCAACACAGGCTGAGAGGAAAACAGAGGAAGACAAAGAGAGCAGTAATGAAAGAGAGAGAAAGAGAAGTGGGAAAGGGAAAAACAGACGACTAAACAAAACATTCACGTGGAGAGTTAAGGACAAATTGGATGATGGAGGAGTGTACCAATGAGGAGAAGTCAGGCAGAATTAGAGATGTGCAACAGGAACACAGGTGCATACCAATAAGAAAACAAAGACGAGGCCGAACAGAGAGACATAGTTTAAAGACACTAAATGGAAAAAAATCACAGAAACTGTGTGATGACAGGAGCGGGAAACCACGTGCTCGGTGCTGCCCCTTCCCCTCCCGCTTACCCGGTGGAGGCAGGCTCTGGCCGGGCAGGGCGGCCTGGCCCGGCGCGGGCCCGGGCAGCGAGAGCAGGCCCTGGCGCTGCATGTTGAGCAGGTGCTGCTGCTGCTGGAGCTGCTGCATCTGCAGGAGCTGCTGCTGGAAGACGAGCTGCTGGGCGGCCAGCTGCTGCTGCTGCTGCTGCTGCTGCTGTTGCTGCTGTTGCTATAGAGAGGAGGAGGAGGAGGAGGAGGAGGAAGAAGAGGAGAGAGGAGGGAGGGAAAACGACAGAGGCATTAACAGCTGAGGGGAGAGGAGACGGAGCGGCGTCTGGAGTGCGGGCGTTTTTTCCTCCGCTGTGGCACCCGGCAGCTGTGGTGCCAGCTCCACCTCTCCGCCTGAGCTCACTCAGCCTTTTTTCCTGTTTGGTCGGACTTGTTCCACAGCGATGCTGCCTCCTCCTCTCCTTGTGTGCGAGATCACACGCAAACAGCCAGAAAAAAAGCATCCCTGACAGAGCGGCTCTGGAGTCTGTCAGCGTTTGTGACTTGTGATTGTGTATGATACTAAGCCTCAGGTCTAATCCCCCCTTCTCACACCCCTGATAGTTAATTGTCTCGCCTTCACTGATGGTCTGTTACAGCTTATGTGACCGGAGGGAACTGGCAGAATGAGAGATATACAGCCCGGTGTGCCTGTGAATGCAGAGTCACAAACAGCTGCTGCAAAACAAGACAAAACAACAAAAGGAAAAACATCCAACGCAGCCTCAACTAAACTAGACAGGAAGGATAAAGTGGCACCAGGTGCCAAAGCGTTCTATTAATTCATGACATCTGAGGTTATAAATGGCTGCTTTGTGGGACTAAACCTTCCCTTTTTCTGTGATGTGGATGTTTTCAGTGGGTCTGCGCATACAGTAAATCACACACACGTTTCCATGTGATGGAGTCACCTCAGTGGAGGGGACGGGGGGGGTAAAACTTGAGATGCGCTCACTGGAAAACAGGCTGCGTAATGGCATGATGGAGGGAGGCAGTTTGCCCTCTGCAGCCCTCCCAACGCGCCTCCAGAGAAATAAGAGAGCAATTTCTATTCCATATTTGATGGCGAGGCCCCGGAAAAACGATTCACAGATCCAAACAGAAACAATGCTGCCGGGAGGTCAGTTTCAACTTCCTGTTGGGGCAGAATAATGGGCTGCTTGAGGAGACAGGGGGGAGCGGGCATAAATAAGTACACAAAGGCACACAAACGGTGTGTGCGTGTTTACGCCATAAATGTTTTTGCTTATCAATCTGTCTGCTTGCAGTCTTGTCTGGATGTGGCCCTCACAGATGTGCTCGAGGCTCCTCTCTTCTGATAGGAGCAGAGAAGCCCTGTCTGTCGGCCAGCTGCCTGTCACCGGGATTTATGAGCGGCGTAAATTGTAACTCTGACGCTGGAGCACGTGTTTGAGTGTTTGCGCGCCCACAAAAAGGCGGTTCATTAACAGGTTAGACGCGGGACCTCTTGTCTCTGGTCTCCTTCCTATAAATCAGAGAGTGTTCGAACGTCACTCGAAGCACTTCATTAACTGGGTGGGTTCCTCCATCTTGGCTGACAGCAACAGGAACACAGCTGGCACAGATGTGTGCTCTTTTATCTGAATCAAACAGACTGCGGGGGGACTTCCCCTCTGACTATCTCCCCGTCCGGGCGAACCTTTATCGCTTCTGTCTGGGTTCAATCTTTGTTTGTTTTTACCTCCTTCGCCTGCTTGCCAGGGTGCTGCTGCTGGAGAAGCTGCAGATGAAGCTGCTCCTGCTGTTTCTTATAAAACTCCTGCAGGTGTTGCTGTGGACACAAACACAACGACAAAGACGAGAATGAGGTCTTTTTTTTTTCTCCAAATGGGGCTGAAAGGAGCAGAATACTCTATAGACTGATTCCGTTTGTCCTGAAAGAGTCCATGAAGCAAACTGTCAGCGTGCACGGCTCAGAGAGAGTTACTCCACCTGATTTAACAGCTGAAGTTAAAAATGAATGGGAGCCCTTGAGGCGATTGAAAAATGTTTTGAGCTCTTGCCGCGGTCAGATAAACCACATAAATCAATAATGGAGCATTGTTGTTTGCTGAATTAGAACAGGTTTTCTACGTGGTCCCTGGTGATTTAAGATCGAGGACAGATGTTCTGTGTTATAGATTTGGAGACGATTATCTTTGCTATGTTGTGACTGACGACGTTAACAAAGTTCTGCTCTAAAATGCTTAAAATCGCCACTGATGGGAAACAACACGTTTGATGATGGGCTTTGCTTGCTGGGAAATCAGGTGCACTCAAAAACCAAACCGCAAGCCGTTTTTAATGAGGATGGATAATCAGAATGAATGACATTCTTAATTAAACCATTCTCTTTCCCTTAATCAAATTGAAAAATGAGAAATGTATTTCATCTCTGACATGAGCCTCTGCCGAATGTGTGCTTCCTCCGGTCGATTCCAAACGTTACATCACCCGTCGCCTATCATTCAGCCCCGGTATGCCCTACTCTCTCCGTCCCTGATGGATGCTTGTCAGGGAATTGAACCAGCAGCACACCAGAGACGGTTAATTAGAGGCGACACGAACAAGAACGTCAATTTCGGCTTCCTCTTGCTAAGCGTGTCAAGGACACTGTGTTGAGTTAGCATGAGTGGCTTGTGGCTGTAACGCTGGCTAGGGGATGACTCAGGGCTGTGTGTGCATGATTGGGAGCATTTTTGGGTCTGATGGTATCAAACAGTGATGCAAGAAGACAACGTTTAAGGATTTAAAAATGTCTCAAATTTGGTTCAAAAGCGCATATTGGACAGATTTGAACGCGTTCGGTGAGCATGTGCTTTTCTGATCCGAAAGTCTTGCATGTTGCATCATTTTACTTGCAGGTGTTTGACTTTCCGGTGGCTTGCTGGTGCCTACCTGCTGCAGCATCACAGCCTGCTGCTGCTGGAGCAGCGCCTGGAGCTGCTGGGGGGAAAGCACCTGCTGCTGGAGGATCTGCTGCATCTGTTGTGGCGTGATCACCTGGGGACTCATCATGGCCACTGACACTGGAACCTGGGCATGGATGAGGGGGGACGGAGTGATGGAATGAGAGTTGGGGAGGAGGGAGGAGAGTAAACAATGAGAGAGCGGGTGGGAAATTGATGGGGAAATGAGAAAAAACGAGAGAAAGTTTGAAAAACGGAGCATTAGAAGATGCATCTGGCAATTGTGGTGGGGATCTACAGGGAGCGAGGTAATTGGAGGCTTGAGAGGCAGGGAGAGCAGGCCTCTCATGGCTGTGACGTTTGGCAGCCTAGAGGAGATGCTGAAGGACAGACGGGTGCTGTGCCTTTGTATTGCTCATCTTATTTTCCTGCCTTCGGTCCGCCGGGAAATGCAGGGGGATTTAAATAGACATAGACCTTAATTAGCAGGACCCTTGAACTCCCCCACTTTAGCGGGCCTATCAGTGCTGCTATTGTGAAACAGCATGAAAATGCACAACTCCAAAGTTGATTAAAACTACACTGATGAAGTGGACACATGGCAGGCACAATCAGCCCGATGGGCTATGACTGCACCTTACGCATTATTCTGGGCAGCAAAACATTTTTGGAACAAGCTGTTTAGATGCCTTCTACCATCTGATATCTGAAGCATTTTTTTTTTATCTAAAAAGAATCTGAAGACTGAAATTTCTGTGGCTGTATTTGTTTTAAAAAACTCATTTTGAGGGGATAATGACTGAAATATAAGCTGTGGAGCAGCATCAGAACAACTTCACCACCACAAAACAAAGACACATATCCTGGGTTTCTCCCGAATTCCTCTAAGGCGGCAGCGCTTGTGACTTCTGAGGCAGCAGATCAATAGAAAAACGACTTGTTTCTTTACTGTCTTTGATGGCACGCGCTCTAACAGGGGAGCTCAAGCCAGCAGTTTTATTGTGGAGTTTTAGCTGCTCAGTCCTGCTAAAAAAGACTTTTTTTTTTAAATAATGAAGTCAACAAGAAATGATACAACACTTGAACAATTCTTTTTTTTTTTTACCCTTGACGCTCGCTGCCTGACTCACGTCCATTAAAGCTTTCAGCCCTTTCCAGTTTCAGACTTTTTGTTGTTTTCTTGCGGCACTTTCAGGGCTGGAAGCTGCTTCATATTCTAAACTGACAGCTACAAGCAATTTAACAGTTAAAACATCAACATGTAGCGAGACCTTCCCTGATTCTAATTGCGACAGTGTTTGCCATGCAGCTTCCATGACAGTCGCTCGCCTATATGGTGTGTCAAGGGGCCAATAAGACATCCCTGTCCTCATCGCCAGCTAATCAAGCTGGCTTGATTACTTTCCATGCATGTCTCTTCTTCCTCCCTCCTTTCTCTTCCTCTCTCTCTCTCTCTCTCTGTCAGGCCTTGACACGTCCTTGTTTAGCTCTCCTCTCCTCGACGCCCACCCCCACCCCAGGTTTTCCCCCCTCTTTGATTAGCCGAGACATTTGCATGGTCACTACACATTTTTCATTTTAGAAGTCATTATGCATTAGTGGCTCCTGATCGCCCGCCTTGACTAATCCTGATGAACTGAAAATCACAGCTGAAGGTCAACTTCCAGCCGGCCCCGCTGCACATTCATATTCATATTCAAACAAATCCTGCCTGCATTGTTCATTAGAGTCTTAGAGAGAAGGGACTCCATCTAAGGTGGAAGCGATGGAGGAGGAGGAGGAGGATGTTGTGGTACATCTCTTTTCTTCTCTGGACTCTTCCGTGCAAGAGCAGGAGAGAAATTGCATTCACAATAAGTGAAGCTCCGAACAAAAGCCGTCAAAAGTTGCAAATTAAACAGTCTGTGTGTAATTATGCAAATGCTGTGCTTACACCTTCAATGCTATTAACCCTTAAAGGTACATTTGCTAGGTAAGTAATTACCCCCGCAGCCAGTCCGGGTTTTGTGTTGGTTGCCATTACAATGGCACCAGAGCAGCAGAGAAACAACACAGAGATGCACTCATTAAAACTCTTAATTGGGTGCCGGCTCAAAGATATTTTGGTTCACAAAAGGGACGCAGGCGTCAATGCAAAGGGGTTAACGCAAACCTATGTGCATGAATATGTAATGTAGCGTTCAATTCAAACTGTTCAGTGTTTCCATTGTGCAGGTGGTGGAAATATAGGCAAAGTAAATGAATAATGCAGGAATGAAGCAAACCTGCATAATAGCAAACGTCACTTCGAGTAAGAAGAGGAAAAAAAAATTCAACGAACATTAAACAACAGGTTCGAAAAGACAAATCTTTCAGTTTTATGCTTTCATTAGCTTTTATAGAGGGATGATAGGTGATAATCACCTCCATTTTATCCCTGCTCCAAACAGGAACAAGAAGGAGGTGGGTAGGAGGTGGAGGGGGGGGTGAAAAAGAGAGAAAAGGCAGGAGGAAGAAAGAGAGGGGAGAAAAGGCACTGGCCCACATCCATTGTGAAGTGCAGCACAATGCTAATTCCAGCATTTAACTGCATGCTTTTCTGCTTGACGTATCAGAGGCTCCAAGATGAAAGCAGATAAGTAATTGCTCTCCTGGTTCTTATTCTTCACTGACAACCCATAAATTTAATTTTACACACACGTTCATTTACATTTTCGAGTATATGACATGATAATTGCAGGAATATAACACCTCCATTCTGCAGGATACTGCAGGAGGGCTTGATTGACGGGAGCGGTGAATTGAAAGGAACAGGAGGCTGAATTGCCTCTCCTTGAAATGATTTCGCCACGAAGGGATAAAATTAATGAGCATTTAGTAGACGTCGGCAGTGGCGTAAACATCCACGCGGCGTGAATAGACTATCGCCAAAGAGGAGTCGCGATATCCAATTGGACTGTGCCTCTGTGTCTCTGTTATCCAAAAAGGAAAAGGATGTATTTCCAGCGCGGCTGTTAAAAAGCATAAATGGGATTTATTGAAGTGTTGGAAATTAGCGGCAGCTGACGGAGGCTCTGGGGAGCCTCATAACTGCAAATGTTCCAACGGTGCAAATGTGCTTGCAAATGCTCTAAAAAAGACTTTGACCGGAGCCCTTACTCCACAGGCAGCATTTAAACCTGCCAGCTTCACGCTGAATTGTTTGTTTGTGCAGGGAGTCTTAAAAGGAACAAAGAGTTAAGTTATGGGATTTGCTTTGCGAGTTGGAGAGCAAAACAAAAGGACCTTTAAATTGGCTCATGATGTAAAAACAATGGCGGAACGAGCAGGTCATTACACCCCTAGTGTCTCTCCAATGCTTTGCAAAGGTCAAGCTCAGGTATTCCCGCCAGCCAAACGGCAGACGGGTCTCTCATTAGACTTGATTTGACTGGGCGTTGTGGCATTAGATTTGGAACACTTGGTCCCCCACAGCGTGCCGCTAACCGGGTGACACGGCCATCCATCCAGCCGCTTCACTGTGTCCCACTTTCTCAGCCGTTTTGTGGCTGGAATCAAATTAGGTAAAGCCGGAGATAACCGGAATCGCAGTTCAAACTTAAACAATTAGTCTCGCGGAGAGGGATTCCTTTTATTCGATTTCCTTTCATACGAATCACTTAGTCATAATGAGCGGGGCGACTCTGGCGATTAGGCGGCGGCCACAAACACTGTGGGCTGGTTATCAGCGGCGGATGCTGGTGTGGCCGTGGACAGGGGACTGCACCCTGCCACAGACACTGCTAAGATAAAGAAATGGAAGAGTCCTCTTGAATCCTCGGCAGGAAAAAGAATGAAGTGCTAATGAAGTCACCGGCTTTATTTCACACGCAGAGTACGAGATAAAGAAAGGAAGGAAGAGGCCTTCCGTGGCCACGCCCCCTTTCTATGCCCTCCCGCAGACCCCCGGCCTGCCATGCAGATTCTGCATGTCTGTTTACTGCAGCACGCAGCCGTGCATGTGAACCTCACTCAGATGCATGCTCAGCTTGGAGAGATCAATAGTCCAGATTGTCAGGGCCGAAGCTAAGTAGATTACCGAATGTTTTCCCAAATCAATTCCTATAGCGGACGTTTGGCAGCAGTGCATGGGAAGTGCAATTCATCATAACATAAAGACCCATCATGTAAAAGCATCTAATAAGAGAGCCTGAGGAGATTGGGACGGGCTAAGCACGATTTCCATATTGATTTATCTCCACACGAAAAAACGTACAGAACGAGGCTCTTAAATGTGCCGCGTGACCGTGTGGTAACACAACGCAGCAACACAACTCCCGCGCGTTGTTTGCGTCGCTATCGGCACGCACTGTCACGCCCTTATCTCCAAAGTGGCACTATTCACTCCCGACTGATGCCTCCCTGCAGGTGCGGGGAGTTCAACAGTAAACGGGAGCGGCAGCGAGAGTGAAAGGGAAGGAATTAAAAAGTGCACAGAGAAGGGGGCTGAAATAGAAAGAGCCGGAGAGAGCAGGTGAGGCGGGGAGGGGGGCATTTTCCTCTGATGTTGCAGGTAATATGGCCTCCACTGGATCAGCCTCTTCATCAGTGACACACAGTAAATTACAAGTGCTTCAAGCAGCTCAGTGAATTATAGTTCATCACTTGGAAAGGCTTTCCCCCTCACCACCGGGGCCCAGGCGTATCAGATCTGCCGGTTAGGATCCAATTAACACCCTGGCCAGAATCATCTGATTGCATGTGTAAGGGCTGGTATAACTCGTTTATTGCACCCATGTATCTTCTGTCACAAGGTAAATTTGTTGCTGCTACATCAAAGGTCTGAGCTACTTTTTTTTCCATCCCTCCCTCTCACTTTCTCTTCATCCCCCAAACTCAGCAACCTCGCCTTGGGGTTGCATTTCAACTTCTTTTGCATCACAATGATGAACCTACGCTGTCCTCGCAATTTAGCAATCTTGTCCTGTAGGTGTTGTAAAAAGCAAGGAAAAAAGAGGAGGTGAGAGAGACGGCGCATGGAAAAAAAAATCTTGTTTTTTGGTAACAAAAGCGGCAACCAAGGCTGTTTGACTTAAAATGTGCTGACGTTCTTTCCCTCTTTTCTCTCTCAGAGTCAACAGAAGTTTTGCTCATGAATAACATAATATTTTCCCCCGCTCTTTTTTCCCTTCGCTGTGATCATTTCTCTCTATTTTCAGATCCAACCAGAGGGGATGCAGCAGAGAGATGTATTCATAAATGTAAATGTGAACCAGCATCCTTTGGCCATGCACGCGGGGGCCCGCTAACCTATGCTCAAACCTAGCGTCAAAGCCCTTTTGCCTGTCTCCCTTATATGTGTGCGTTCCGCTCGAGAGCCGGTAAGCAAATGAGTGCCGCCACCGGGATGGTTTTGGCTGACTGGTGAAATGTGGCTGAGCTGACCTTTAAAAGCGTGACACCAGACTGTGTGCGCACGGGGCGGGAAAGCTGGAAATGTGCGGAAAACTGTGCACCGGCGTCCCGTCCCGTCTCCCAAACCGACCGAAAAAACCTTCGGTGCTCTCGGTCATGATTGCGGTTTGAGCTCTGAGGTTATTAGAGGGAGAGCGGCTTGAGGGCAGTTGCTGGAGGTCCGATAGGGGACTGGACGTTAACTACCAGGAGGAAAGGTCAGGGGGCTCCCTCACACTGTCGAGCAGTTGACTAACACGCTTCCACAGCAGGGTCGGCTGTGTTAGGAGGGTACCCCACATACTGGGGGGTCCACTATGGAAACCCTGTGGTGAACTGATGATGCCCGATAGAAGTCACCGAACTTTACCTGTCAACGTGCGCGCGCTTGTGTGTAAGTTCAGACGTTGTGTACGTGTGAGCGCGAGCGAAACAACTGTCAGCCTCTTAGGCCCGTGTAATCCTCTCCGCCTCTCCTTGTCCGCGTTTCTTTATTTGTATTCCAAATGTCAGTGTGTAAATGCCTTTCGGAGGGGAGATATTGCCACACAGGAGAGGAGGCATGAGAGGAGAGAGGAGCGGAGACAAGAGGGTGTTGTGTGCCTTGGGAGAGCCGTGTAAGCAGCATGGCGGAGACAGGGGGATTTACAGGAAGAAATAGGTGTTTATTGAGTGCTCCCGTGGGCTTATTGTGTAATAATAGACCTGTCACATTACGCAAATGTGGTGCAGCGGCTTGTGTGTGCGTGTGTTTGTGGGGCTGTTGTTTTTTTGTTGTATTTTTCATGTGCGTGCACGTGAGTGCCAGAACCGCCTGCCTCCGCATCATCAACTCTTGAGAGCAAGAGGATAGAATTAGTCAGGCGAGAGCCTTTAACCGCTAATACGAGTAATTAAAACAGCAAGCTGAGGCACTTAGATGCTTGTGTACTAAATAATTTACATGTCATGATCTATGGATCATTTCTCGCCTCTAAATACCAAAGACGGAGCACACGAGAAGAGAAGACTGGCAGAGGATTTATCAGTATCTCCGCCATAAGCAGGATGTCATGGTTATATTAATCCTTTTCCCCACTTTCTGCTACTCTAATCATACAAGAGGATCAATCCGTGTGATTCCTCGGGTGGAAAGCATGTAGCTTGATTGCCATTGACTGTTATCGGGCTGTGAATTTAATAAAATATTGCACTGTAGCGCCCATCGTGGCCTCATAATCCAGGTAAATAACACAGCTTTATTGGCTAAACTCCCTCAAGACAAGAACTAAAAGAAAGAAAGAAAAAAAAACGGCCCTAGGAAAAAAAAAAAAAAGGTTTTAATCAAGTAAAAGTTTCTACTGCTTTATACTGGTATTTGCACACTAGAGTATTACAGTTAAAATGTCATTTGGAATGAGTGGATTTAGGTCTTCCCACTGTAAACACGATCCAGAACCAGAAGCCAGTGAGCCCTGCGGGTGAGACCGTGCCTCTCTTACAGCATGGCGCCGTGCACGGAGGCTTTTGGGGACAAAGAGGTGAGGATGGATTAGCAGGAAGCTGAGGACGGGCCGATCGGAAGGCCTTTGATTCCTATCGATTCCCGTCCTGAACCAGGCATAGATGGAGTAAGCAAATGTAAATATTCAATATTTACCATCTGCTGGTGTTATTGGAGGCAGCGGCTTGGACACGGGCTGACAGTTATCATGCACCCACACAGCTTTTATTCAATATTGCTCCTCAGTCTACGCTGGTATGTGGTGACTACAGAGGCATTCGTAGATCAGACACTTCAACATAAGTTCCAGACAGCTTTGGATTAAAGACAATGATTTTACTCATAAATGAACAGCATAACCTTAAAGAAAATAAATGCCGTTGGTATATATACTAATAATATCAACAGTCTTGATGAGTCTGGGCTGAATTATCCAAGGAAAAGCAACCTTATCTCCTCACCGGTGCGTAATTAGATACACAGGGGTGTGACTCCAATCGAAGGTGTCGCCATTGTTAGACTCTGAAAATATCAACGGGTGAGGTTAACGCCAATTTCCCTGTCATTAATTAAAAGTACAGAGCCCTTAATGAGGTAAACCACTGCTCTTGATCGTACTTATCAGCCAAGTGGGGGGTACAAACTCTGACACTTCGCTTTGAAATGCATTCCATAAAAAGGACAGGCATTGGAAAAACAGAGCGGATGTCAACGGGTCTTTGGAGGCGTGCGGACCAACCAGACTGTTGATGTAAATGAACAGAAGGAAAAAACACCCCTGCAGGAAACGTGTGTGTACGAGTGTGAAGGCGCCGGTGTGGGAGGGAGTGGGAGTGAGCTTCTCCAAATCACTGACAACAGAAACAGACAGCTCGACGAATCAAAAAGGTGACTTGGCGTTGAAGGGTGGAAATGACATGAGGTTAAAATTAGCTGTGTAACACGCTAGTCTTCCTGACAAGTCTCTCAAATATTAACTAACCTCTGGTTTTCTGTGTCAGCAACAGTGTGGAGGGGGCGGATAAAAGGCCACCTTCAACTTTCAGAACCAGTGGAGACCTTTGTGCTGGTATTCTCCAGTTTGATGGAAAACAAGCCCCCCTAAAAAACACAGAGGTGGGCAAATGGCCTCTGGATAAAACCCTCTGCTGGATTATTTTTGTGCTTATGAGATGCTCAGCTTCCAGGGAACCGACTTAGGACCAGACTTAGGATTCCAAAGACAGGTCCGCAAATCAAACAAACTTTGCTGAGCAGAGGAAACGGTCTTTTCGGAGGAGCCGGCATTACAGATGGACTTAAAAAGATTAGACGGGGAGCTGCTTTACCTGCAGTGGACGGTGCTTGTCCTGGCTCTTTGGAGATTTCAGGCCACTGCCTGGCTGCTGCAAGAGTAATTGCCTCGCTGCTTGTAGTGCCTGGAAAGGAGAGAGCACAATACCAAAAGGCGGTGTGAGAAAAAGAGAAGAGAGAGGCAGGGAGGAGGGAAGAGACGGGGGGGAAAACAAACTATAAGGTTTCCTGAAACTGACAGTGAAGATAATTCCCATTTTCACGTGCTTAAAAAACAGACTGAAAACCCTGTCAGCCATCAGCCGCTTCATTCTGATGTGGTTAACACCACGCTGAAGATATGTTTTAGGAACAATTCACAGAGCTGTGATCAAGGATAAATACCGTTTGTGTAGAGCGCCCCTGAAGAAGAGGATGGGGGAGGCGAAGGGGAGGGGGGGGAGGCAGAGTAGAATTGACCTGTCTAGTGTGTGCTCAACTGAAATATCCACTTCTCTCTGCAAATTACTACTACATTTGCATATTCATAATATCAATTTGAAGTAGAGGCAGCACCATGTGAAGTGTCCCTCGGAGCTGTAATTAAAGTTGACAAAATCAACATCAGATTACATTTAGAGTGAATTAACCAGCAGCCCAGGTTTAACACTATGCATTAAGGCTGCTTCTGGCTGACGGATACAGAGATGAAAACATTGACGGGAAAGAGAGACCTTTTCCTGTCTGATGACATTAGTTCACAGGTGCTGTGAAAACTCTAAGAAATAATAGGAAAAAAATGGTCAAATTCTTTATTAACACACTTTGATGTGTTTGCCAGACAACGCTATGATCGCGGGGCCTGGTTGTGTCACTTATTTCTCTGGGGTTTGACAGGATTACGCACCCCCGGCCGGCTGTGAGCTCACAGCTCCGGAGGCGGCGGGGGGGGCTCTGGATGAGCGAGCCAGAACAGAATAGAGTGCACTTCGGGGTCTGGAAGCATCAAGTAAAAGCGATGAAGTAAAAAAAAAAAAAGAAAAGAAAAGAAAGACACAACTTCACAGGTGTTTTGCTTTTGATGAAAAAAAAAAAGAGGACGAGTAGAAGTAGTAAGAGAAAAAATATCTGGTGGAGAGTGGCACTTCCTCAGGAGTCAGTGGTGCTCATTTTATTCTGGTGCTTGCCTGTATCCATGACAACTGCTGCCTTGACAGGCCGTGCATATGGTGCTGCTCTACCAGGTGGTAGGAACAATGTTTGAACTAGTACATTGAGATCCCGAGCAAACAAGAGGAGAAGACAGGAGACAGACAGAGAGAGCAGAAAAAAACAAGTAGGAGGAGAGAAAAAGTTGCCATGTCTTAACCCTTCAGGGAACGCAGTCCACCCCCCCACCCCACCCCACCCCCTGATCAATTATGAAAAGACAGAGCAGGGTGGGTGTCTGGAGAGGAGGGGGTGGTGCTGGGGAGGGGGCTGTCTGGCTGCTCAGGAGGAGCCAGGGCTACTGATCTACAGTAAACAAACACATTACACTGGCACTGGGTCCTAACAGCATTGATCCGTCTCCCCGGTACGAGGAGTCTAGTCGCCACCGTTTTAAATATGTGTGTGTGAGTGTGTGTGTAGGGTGTTATCTGAAAGCCGGCCCCCCACATACGCTCATAAAGTTTGGCTGTTGGGGGAAAAAAAAAAAATCAAACGTCGTGTTTGATTTCGTCCGCGCGTAAAAAGACAAAACAAAGTCCTCAAAGGCAGCCAATCACTTTGCTAATTAAAACACAGGGTCCAATTAATCTCTCCATGATTGGTGAATCAAAGCAATTATAAGGCTTATTGAGTCCCGCACACAGTAGTTAGAGGGATGAGTGCGGCTCAAGGTAGCTGTCAGGGGGAAATGTTTATCCATGTGTGAATCAATAATGACTCGCTGTGTTATACCCAAAGTCAAGAGAGCCGCTCGATATATTACACACAGTCAAGAGTACAAAGAAAGAGACGTTTCTAACTGCTCTTCCAATATCTGTGTGAGGTAAATATGCAGGGAGGTGACGCAGGAGGGTGATGAGGGATCAACTGCAGCGGGCTTATTAGAAAAGAAGTCTGCTAAAGTGAGCACTTCTCCAAAGCCAGCGCCGGTCTTATCAACACCGGACAAACTTTTCCTCGGTGGCTTGTCATGTCTGAAAGTGTCTGTCACCTCCTTCTGTGGAAGCGGGGTTAGCCATTTTTCAGAGTCTGCGATGGTGTGGAAGGTAGGGGGAGAAAAAAAAAAAAAAAAAACGCTCCGTCCCCTCACATTCGCCGGCTCCCGGCGTTCCAGCCATTACAGTAAAAAGCACCAATTTGTGCCACCCACTTCTCACTCCGCAGAGATGGTGAGCTAAAGCCCATCTGAAAGCACAAAAAAAGCGGCAAATGCCAAGGAAAGTCATCAAAAGTTTTGTGGAGAGCCGCCGGCGCGGACAAAAAACAGGCACGAGTGCAGACGCAGCGCCTATTTAACCCGGGTTGCTATGCACGAAAAATGACATCCCCAGTCTATTAATGCACACGCTGAATAAACAGCACAATGTGACACATTCTTTAGAATGAGAGCGCAAGCCAGACAGAGCAAAAGAGAAAAAGAGCCAGGCCCGGCTATATAAATAACAAGGCACTCAGAGGCATATTTGATGTTGATATCCATCACTGAGGCTGGAAAAGAGGAGGAAAAATAAGGGGAGGGAAAATAACAGAGCGACCGAGACCGCGACACGGAGATCCTTATGAAAATAAGATTCAGCCCAAATGGATCTGGTGTAATTGGTTTCAGATAGTGAGGTCAGGAGAAAGGCGATACAGGCAACTATTATGCGAAGCGGACTGAGAAACAAGAATGTTTACACAGGCATTCCTCTCCTACATTAATAGGCATGCAGAGATCACCAGAGAGGGGCGGAAAGGAGAGAGTGAGCAGAGGCAGACGGAAAACGAAAGGAAAGAGGGAGCAGAAAAGGGACACCTAAAGGGACGGTGGCTCAACACACAATCCTGCAATATGCTGCACCTTTGTAAGAAGCATGCAAACATCTTAAACAAGCATGAAATACTTTAGCGGGGCTTTCAATACCCGGCCAAACCATTGCAAATCTCCAGATTGCTTATTGTATGTGGTTGGTGCTGGTGGGTGGATGAGTGGGGGGGGGGAAGGGGGGGGGGGATATAAGCCATCCATGAAGAATGTCACTCTTTCAAATCCACACGGAGACTTCACAATTTTCAGCCATGACATCGGAATTGGATAGCTTTGAGTGGCTGAGGCATTGTGTTTGGACAGTGCAGATCGGATCACCGGAGGAGCTGCTGTTATTACGGGATCTGTCTGATATTGGAACGATGACACGGGCGCGTAATAAGCGGCTCCTCAACAGGTAGCGCTTCACGGGACATTCTGAGGTCCCAGCGAGCCGCCGTAAACAAGGCGGGCGGCCGCCGATCGGGGGGGGGGGGGGGGAGGGAATCGCATCATGCTAATGCGCTCCTGCTGTTGTGCTCGACAGATGTTCTGCGTGTCGGCACGGGTGTGTTTGTTGTAGGGGAGAGAGGGGCTGCCGTTTGACACCAGGCTCTCGGCCAGAAAGACTCCACTCCAGCTGACAGCTTTGACAACTCTCTACCTTCACTTTCAGAGGATGGAAGCCGGGGAAGAGCCACTCTCCATCCAGTTTAAGGGAGGGTAGGGGGGTTGGATGCCGCGGAAAACAAGGGAGAAGCGGTTTTGAGCTGAACAAACAAACACGGCTGATTGGACGGAGGCCGGATGGAAGATATGCTCTGACACCAAAATAAATACAGCGCACGGGCCTGTGTGAGTGTGTTCAGGGCAGATAGATGGATGGACCGATACCAGGCCCTGGTTTACATCCAGGGTCTGAATCTTAACCAGGGCTTAACTGTTTTATCCTCCGTTGAGGTCACGTCTGGAAATAACGGCCCACTGCCTCAAAAGAGTGTGGAGGTACCGCTCTTTCATCGCCTCCTCAAAGCCCAGACAGTCCACTATCCACACCTCGGTTCAGTCTGGGCTTGATTGAATACGTGGAAAGACGATAAAAGGTGATAACTTGAGCTGAATTTACCCTCAGAGGGCAGTGTGAAGACGGAGGATCAACAGGGCCGCTGTTCCCTTCCAGCCTGAACAGATTTCCACCGTCTGTTCGCGTTAATGGCAAATTAAAACGATCGCTTTACCGAAAAAGTACCTCGGACGGTGCCGGTGTGATACAGGAGCTTCGCAGAATGTGGACAGAAAAGGGGGATTTGGAAAGTATGCGGGAGTAATGAGCATTTGAATGTATGAGTCGATAAATCAGCGGTCCGTGGAGAATCTGCTGGGGCCTCAGGACAGAGGTAAAACATCCAGCAGAACAATGGCCCTCTGTGTCCCGCTCCGCTACCTCAGCTCCCTCTGCCCCCCCCCCACCTCACCGACACACACTTCTCCAGCCAAAAGTACAAACCAGCTCCAGCTCATACTAATCTGTTTAGTTGTTTCTTTTACTTCTTAAAAAGAGATTAAACGCCGGTATAATGATCACTTACTGCTTCTCTGCTGTGCTTTGAATCCCAGCCCCCCCCCCCCACCCTCTCACACGCTCCTCCGTGCGCTCATATCAAATTATTCATTTCTTCCTCTCATCTTTTCTTTCCTCCCACCTATCTCACCTCTTGTTTATTGATTCTCTAGATTAAGAATTCCTTGGCTGACGGATTGTAACACACAAGCATCAAATTATTTTGGGGTGTGCTTATTTGCCTTTCCCTTGCATCTATTTGGCCTGTGCCTGTAGACAATTATGCCTCCCCAGCCTCAGACTCAGGTGCTAATAATGAAGGACAAATAGAATCGTATGTGTAAACTTCACCCACTGATGAAAATTTATATTAACTTTCTACCACAGTAAACAGAGCTGCGTAGCTACACCGTCCC